ATGCTGAGATGTGTGGACTACTCCAGATCACTCAAGCAGGAAAAATGGAAGTCACCAATAAAGCTGTAAACTGGGAAGTTAAGCAACCTGGCCCTACCTATGCCAAAGTGCCGTCATACCAACAGAGATTTGACCGTGAGTATGCTATTATTGTTCCTACTGTTAACGGTGTGAAGCAGAAACAGTATATCGAAGCACTCGCTGAGATAATGGAACCCAGTCACATTAGGTATGCCTCTCGAATTTCTGGAAATAGATTTTGCTTTCATTTGAGTAGCAAGCATCAACTTGATATGCTTCTAATGAAGCACTCCTGTATGATAGGGAATTATAAGATACCAATTAAACGACTGGTTGATCCAGGAAAGCGGATCATTATTTCCGGTGCTTGCCCCAGTATACCTGTACAAACAATTTTGGAAGAAGAGATCCAGAAGCTAGGGATTAGGCTATTATCACCAATAACTTTCTTACGCCTCGGGTATAAGGAAAAAAACCTGAGTCATGTACTAACGTTCCGACGACAGGTATTTATAGAGGCGGATGATATAACTAAGTTAAGTAGCACGGTTGCCTTTTCTTATCAGGGAATCAATTACCGGATTTTTCTCGCTGAAGATGTTATAGTCTGTTACATCTGCAAGAAACCGGGACATTTTGCAGCGAAATGTTTGGAAAAAGAACTGCCGGAATGGTATAATCCGGTAGATATTGAGCACACGCTCCAATCAACTGAGATCGAGCCATGCTCAAGCACAGTTGATTTAGAGGGTAGTTTGAAGAAAGAGGCAAGGATTGATGCTGTAGTCATTGAGTCTAACACAACAGGCGACTTGGAATATAGTAATAGGCAGATAACAATTGATAACAATCCACCTATTAATAAATATACTGACGAGAAAACACCTATTGACAAATATACTGACGAGAAAACACCCATTAATAAATGTACTGACAAGGAAACATTGATAGGTACATCTGAAAGTGAGAAATATATACAGGATGATGACCAGAAACAAAAACGGAATAACATTACTATAACAACCCTATGCAAATCCAAACCATACTTATCACAGAATCAAGGGATCAACAAAAACCAACAACGTTCACAAACTAGAGATACAGTATCATTACCTGCGAAAAAGTGCAAAGCCGGCTCAAATATTAAAACAAAGAAGACCAGAAATCCCACTGAAACCATACCCAAGTATGGTTTCAGTGGGATTTCAGATCATGGTTCGCACGGGTCCAAACCCGTGCGAACCATGATCTTAAACAACAAAAGCACTTACCCTCTCACTTACGAAAAAATATGCCTATTACTCGACATGACTCGGGGAGAAAATGAATCAAACGCTACTGATATCATGTCTCAGTTTACAAACAATGTAAACGGTCTAAAAACAATGCTTTCAGATATCAGAGACACAGTATCACATAGAGGGCTAAAAATCAGAACCTCAAAACTAATAAAGATTTTGAATGAGCACTCCTTGAACACTACCGAGCATTTAAAAATAACACATGGTGATAACAATAATCTGGAAAATAGGAAACACTTTGCCAATCAAAATGAAAACAATCATTCAATGGAATTGTAAAAGATTTTTCCGACATTTAGAGCACCTAAAAATGACAATAAGCGAAGAGAACCCTATACTAGTTTGTCTCCAAGAAATACACTTACAAGAAACTCAGACAGTGAGATACAAAGATTACGATATTACCGAAAAGCAAAAGATCGTCATGGGGAGACTTCGTATCTTCATTAAATTAAAGCAGTTCAATGAAGGAGCTCTGGAATAAAGTGAAAAGCATTAAGGGGATCTCCAAAACAAAGAAATTGCCTGGTATAAACAGTGGACAAGACTCTACAACAGAGTGTAATTTAAAGGCGTTGCCAATGACCCTACAGGGTAGAGGCAACAAAATACCAAATAAATAAATAAATATTCCGATGGAATATAGAATTGTAAGCAGGGTTTTCTGGTTGGGTATATATTTTCGTAATATATTTGGCAACCAGCTTTTGACGGCGATATAAAAGAGGTACTATACCAGCATCCACGCAAAGTTTTGAAAGCTCCAGTGGAGAGGCGAATGCCAGCATGGTGGACTGCGTCTAGTTTTTAATTTTATTATGGCTTGCGGAGGCGTATATAAAGCTACAGTAATCAATTTTACTAAGAATTATTGCTTGGTATACACGGAGCATAGTCTTTCTGTCTGATTCCCATCTGGTGTTACCTAATTTCTTCAGTAGCGTCATTCGGCTTATCGTCTTGGATTTGAGCTGTTCGATATGCATAGACCAAGTTAATTTTTTATCTAGATGTTGACCTAAAAATCTAATCTGGTCTGTGTACAAAAGTGGGACATTATTTAAAGTGATTTGGGGTGGAGTGCTATATTTTCTATGACGGCTGTAGTGTACACATCGCTTCTTATCTGTTGAGAAATTAAATGCTGTTCTTTGTGACCACAATGTTAAACTGTTTACTACATCCTGAAGACAGAGCTTAATGAAGTGAAGGTCACATGATTTACAGAGGATTGTAAAATCATCAGCAAATAAATATCCTGTAATATTGGGTGTCAAACAGTCAGTTCGAATAGCAATTGAAAATAATATCGTACTCAATACTGAGCCTTGAGGTACACCATTGCTTACATACTTTCTTTCAGAAGCAGTTCCACCCCCCCCCCATGACTCTGAAAAACCTTGTTCCGAGAAATCCTCTAATAAAGTTTGCAAGATTTCCCCTAACTCCCCATCCATGCAGTTGCTTGAGGATATTGTATTGCCATACTGTGTCAAAAGCATTTTTTATGTCAAAGAATATACCTACCGAGTGTTCCTTATTGACAAATCCATCTTGAATCTCAGTAGTTATTCTGACAAGGTTATCGATGGTGGAGCGTTTTTTGCGAAAACCACATTGCAAATTATCTTGGACGTTTAATTCATCAAGTAACCAAATGAAGCGTTTGTTCACCATCCTTTCTAGAATTTTACAAACACAGTTTGTTGGCGAAATCGGACGGTAACTGGTCACTTCAGTTTTAGGCTTTCCTGCTTTTAATACTGGTATTATTATAGACTCTTTCCACTGAACAGTAAAAACACCGCTGGTCCATATTTTATTATAAAGTTGTAGGATTGTCTTTAATGAGTCATCAGATAAATGTTTAAACATTTCGTATGTCAGTTCATCAGGACCTGGTGATTTACCTCTTAGTTCAGTGAGGACACTTTTTAGTTCTCTCATGCTGAAAAGTAAATTATATTTTTCCTTGTTTGTTGATATAAAATCAAATGGTTCTTTCGCTTTTGTTTCAAAGAAATGATCTCGTTACCATTGTATGCGTTGAAAAAAGTTGACAATCATTCAACAATTTCCTCGTAGCAAGTGACGCCTCTTCCCGCATTTAAATAGATAGGTTGAAAAATTCGTTTTCCTTCGATAGCCCGAACCTTCTTCCACACCGGGAAGTGTTATTGATATGAAACATACTGTTCAGGTTGTTTGGTAACATCACTCTCTTACATGATGCTTTTGATTTTTCGTATTCTATGAAATTTTGAAGAGTCATTTCTTTTAAAAACCCTATAGGCTTTTCTCTTCTTTTTTATAGCATCTTTACAATCGGCGTTAAACCACGGAACGGGTTGTCGTTTTGGTCTGGATGATGATTTAGGAATAAAACGGTCCGCTGCTTCTCGTTTTGTTGAGGTAATGAGAGAGCAGCTCTCTTCTACATCGTCTGTGGAGGTCAGGAAGGAATTGAATGTTTGCCGCATATTGTTGCCAGTTTGCTCTTTGATGAATCCTGGTTGATCTTTTGCTCATGAAGGGTAGATGCCCAACCATATTAATCATGATAGGGAAGTGGTCGCTGGAATACTGATCAGATATTACATTCCAAAGGGTGTTCAGTAATAAACTGCTTGAACAAAATGCGACGTCAATGGAAGAGTATGTGCCATATGATGAGCTTAAAAACGTAGGTTCGCCGCAATTGAGAACATGTAGGTTATTGGTATCCAGCATGCTTTCTATTACCTTTCCTCTTCTATCACTTCTTTCTGACCCCCAGATGGTGTTATGGGCGTTCAGGTCCCCTAAAAATAGAAGTGGTCTAGGCAGTTGGGAACAAAGTGATTCCAACTGTTCTAATGTTAACAGAGTTTGTTGAGGTAGGTATACGTTGCAGAAAGTGAGGGATTGCTCTCCTAGAATTCTGATAGCGACAGCTTGTAAAGTGGTGTGTAGAACAATCGGTTCAAATTGCAAACGGTGAGATACTAGTGTCATAACTCCTCCGCAAGCTCGAGCTCCACTAACGTTATCTAGACGACAAAGTTCGAAGTCCCTAAGTGTCAACTTATCACTAGGTTTTAAGTGTGTTTCCTGCAGACACAGAAGAGTGGGGTGGTTGTCCTGTATCAATAGCTGTAGGTCAGAGAAATGAGTTAAGATTCCATTGCAGTTCCATTGAATTATTTTAACATCGGGCATGATTATGGAGTAGATAAAAGAACAACCTTTCATAGTTCGTACAAGCCATTGGAACTGAGTGGCTTTTAGAATGTAATAGCGATATTGATTTAATTGAGATATAAACAAATAAATAGGTTGCAATATTAATGAGATTCAAATTATATGTAATAAGAAATAAATAACTAAATAAATAATGTAATTGTAGAAATAATGTGCTTTTGTAATTTTCGCAATGCTTTAGTAAAAAATTAGCCAATGAAGGAAGTGTATATATGATGATACAATAAAATATTTGTAAATTAAAAGATGATATTATTAAGTGTAACATTTCATTGTAAGGGTTAATCAACAGTTAACTTTTTTTGTTTTTGTTTTTTTTCCTTCCTTTTTTATTACTTTGTAGCTGATAACCATCAACATCCGTTTGCCCGGTGTCTTCGTCAGTCAACATAGAGCAGTCCGGAGAAGATGACTCACCCGCCTCCAGAGCCCGATCAGCTAGTTGCTCTGCTGGTGGTAGAGGTGTAGGAGTAGTGGACCATGAAGTCCGGATAGAAGGATGAGGGAGGGTATTAGAAAGAGAAGAGAATACGGGTGGCGGAGGGTTGGATGAGACAGAAAAGATGGGTAAAGAGGAAGAGCTGGATGAAAGAGAAGAAGTGGAGGGGCTAGTGAGGAAGAAGGGATCAAAGAATTGGAAGGAATAAGAGAGGAAGAAATGGAAGGAAGAGTAGGGGTGAATACGGTTAAGGCCATCGCCTCCATTCCGACCGATGTTGAACGCGATCTTGTAGTCGACATGTCCTCTAAGCCTTTAGGTGTAGTAGTCTAAGGGGTAGCAAAAGTGAAGTTCACTTGAACTCCTATATCTTTTTTTTCTGAGCATTTTGTGGCTTCTGCATATGATTTTAGGAATATAGATGGATTTTTTTTTCTTAAAATATTAGTTCCCCCTACGTATGATATCTTACTATTAGATTGAATAGCCTTGATTTCTTTTTGTAACTTAAAAATGGGGCACCTATGGTCCAAGTCGGAATGATCCCCCTTGCAGTTGGTGCAGCTCAGGGCAATGAGCATATCGAGCTATCGTGGTGTCGGGGCTGACCGCAGTTAGCACATAGTGCTATTTTTTTGCATTGTTTTGTCGGATGTGAAGATCCCAAGCAATTATAACATCTATAGGGTTTTGATGTACAAGGCTCAACATTGACTGTTAAAAATCCTATTTTAAGTGTTTCAGGAGGCTTGGGGGTAATAAAGGATAATATGTAAGTGTGAGTAAATTTTTCCTCACCATTTTTCTTAATTTTAATTCTTAAAATATCTGATATCATATATTTTAGTTCTTCCTTTATTTCCTCCATCGTTGCGAATTGCAAATCATAAAATTTTATTACGCCTTTGGAATAATTGAGGGTACGATGAGGACTAACCTCTATTTCAAATTGACCCTTAAAATTCGTAGTGGCCAATAATGTTTCTGATTGTTTTGCGTTGGTGGTTTCAATTAACAAATTCCCATCTCTAAGTTTTCGTATGTTTTTAACACTACCAACAGCGTTAGTGATAACCTTATTAATGAAAAAAGGTGAAATATTTTTGAAATTGTTTTCATCTTTCCTACTCATTACTAAGTAACTTGGAGTTACATTACGATTGTTATCTGAAATATTAGAGTTGTCGAGGATAGGTTTTACTCTGCCTCTTTTCCGCCGTTTTGAATGTGGACTGAGTGGATCAGTACCGTTCATTGTTAGGTTACGTGATTAATGTTTAAAAAATCCAAAGAAATAAGAAAATTAGTAGAAAAGAAAGAAATTCATAATTGTATATAATTATTAGATTAACTTCACTATTTGTAGATAAGTAAAGAATTTAGGAACCGAACAAAAAAATGAAAAAAAATAAAACATTTTTGGGCTTATCTGGCTGAAGTCCTTGAACGAAACAGCTTCGGCTTCTTCAAACTTAATTTTGGCTTTATTTTACAAACATGTACTTATTTTACAAACAATTAACTTAGTATTTACTTCTTAAAAAGCAAAAAACTATGATCATATGATCATATGGTAACTATTAGTTATTTATAAAAAAAAAATCTTCAATATTCTAAATAAAAACCAACACAGAGCTAACGATATGGAATCCAAGCTCGAATATTGTTTTCCAGCATGATAAATAGTTAGGAAATCTTTAAAAAATTCAATGTCAATAGGTGAATTTATAATTATTTATTTTGTTTTTTCTGTTGCCTCTACTCTTCATGGTCATTGGAAACACTTCCAAGTTATCCAAGTTAAATTCAATTATACAGTTTCGTTTATCAATATTAATGTATTTTTAAAGCTTTTTCGTCATTTTTTAAATTTTCTAGTAGGTTTTGTATCATGTCCAAAGTTTTCCTGATACTTTTCAGTGTTGGAGGTGTCTTGTAAAATGTTTTTGTTCTTTTTTATACGGTCGGATGGGCGAGTCCTTTCAGTAAATAGGAGCGCGAGAACTCAAAATGTTCAATTCTTAATATGCAGTTTCTTAATGGGTTGTTTCTTCTTTCACTGAGATACGATAAGTGATTTCCTTATAATTATTGTGATCGTTAGAATACTTATGAAATAGAATAGAATCGAATATGTTAATTCTAATATCATATTTCAACTAAGTAGCAAGTGTCATGGCCGCAAGTGCAGTTGAAGATTCACATCGCTCTGTATTTGTTACTATGTAATGTGGTTACTATTTAAAATTCTGGTGTAAGACTATATCAACAGTGACTATATAAACAGTGGTACATTTTATGTCACATATGTTCAGGTTAGTAACTATTGATTAACAATGAAGCAGTAATAAATTAGTGCTCGTTCGGCAAGCCCAAGTGGCCCGTAATCCCTTACGGGTTTACCTTATCTGTAATAAGTTACGGTCAAGACTCGGCTCTGTGTATACTAACATTCTTCGGCTTTGTTCACAGTTCGAATCCAAGACATTTAGGTTTTTTTTTTTTCTTTTTTTTTTTTTTTTTTTTTTCTCTTTATATTTTTAATATTTTTCAGGAGACTTTTATTTTATTTACTCATTAATTAATTCTGAAATGAATTATTTTATATTATATCTGTACATAGTTTGTAAATAGTTTAGTTCTTAAGAAGCTATCTTATAATTTTCATTTTATTATTTAGGTTTAAAAAACATTTTTTTTTCTCTCTTTCTCTCACACTCATTTATCCATCATGGATAAATCCATGGATTTGGATAAGAACACTTCTTGTGAAGACTCGGAGAACGAGACACCCTTTTCAGAAATTAGCGAGACTGACTCGCAATACTTGAAAAGACGTACGCTCCAAAAGCGTGTCCGAAACTCCGCTCCCGGTTCGGGAAGCAACTCACCAAATAAGAAAAAAACAAAAAATAAATCTAACAAATCAAATAAGCCAGCAGAACAAGAAAAATCTCCACCTAAAACGAGGAGTAAATCTAATGCCACACAATCAGAGCCAACTGCACCAAGCACCTCAGCCAGCAAGAATACTATTCTCGATAACAATTTATCAAGCAAGATTCCGAAGCCTCAAGATTTTTCTGACCCCGAACCGCCACCTGTTTTTGTTTCAAAAATTGAGAACTTCGTGTCGTTTGGTCAAGAAATTGCAAAACTAATCGGACAGCCAAATTTTCGCTGCTTCTCTCGAATCAATGACATTAAAATAAACACGAACTCTAGAGAAAACTATAAAAAATTGATTAGCCATTTAACTTCCAAAAACTACGACTTCCATTGTTACCAATTGAAACAGGACAAGGCGTTTCGAGTAGTCCTGAGAGGTCTACATTCAACCACTCCTATATCTGTCATCAAAACAGGCCTGGAAGAAATCGGTCATAACGTCAGGCACATAGCACCCGTACTACATCCTAGGGAAAGATATCCGCTTCCATTATTTTTTATAGATTTGGAACCAGCAAAAACGAATAATGAAATATTTCAGGTTCAACGTTTAGTATACTCGACAGTACGATTTGAAGAACCAAGACAGAAGCCCCTAATAGTACAATGCACTAAGTGTCAAAACTTCGGGCATACGAAGACATATTGCCATCACGAGGCCAGATGTGTTAAATGCGCCGGTTTTCACGCTTCAGACACTTGCCAGAGGCCAAAAGATGAGCCCGCTACATGTGCTCTTTGTGGTGAAGCCCACCCTGCAAGCTATAGAGGTTGTGAGGTGTATAAAAATCTTCACAAACAGAGATCACGCAACTTAGCGACGAAAACCCTTGGACCTGCTCAAAAAACTTGTCCTGAGCCACCTGAAATTGAAAATCAGGAAACATTCCCTGCTTTGCCGACTTCACCTTCCATCGCCGTCCAACAACAACCATCCATCTCTACACTTAAGGATTATCCTCAACAGAACTCAAGAAATTCTCAATGGCAGCCTTGCATCATTAAGAAGCAGCCTCAAAGTCAGGCGCCTCAAACCTCCCAATCCAAGCCCAAAAGCTCTAATACTCAACCTCAACAGCCTCGTCAGCCAATCCCTCCCCATCAGCTACCCTTAAGGGTCAAACTCCCGCCAGAGCACCCACACCCAGCTCCACTCGTTCCTACTCCCAAGATGAACCTCCCATCACAAGTCCAACAGAATTTAGATCCTACTCCTCGTACCCCACGTCGGACCCACCCTCCACCCAGCAATCCTATTCGCATAGATTACTCATCACAACCTCATGACCTAAATCCACTTCCCAGCCAAACATCATCCGACATCAACTCTATCCTATCATCATTCCTGATAGATCTTCAACAAACTATCAAACCGCTTATAACTCTTCTCACAAGACTCCTTTCCGAAATCCCGTTTAACTTCCGATGAATACAAAGCCCCTAGCTATCCTCTTATGGAACGCTAACGGACTACAAAACCACCGTGACGAACTAGACATATTTCTCCATGACAATTATATTGACATTGCTCTTCTGACAGAAACTCATTTCACTCAACGGACACAATTCTACATACGTGACTACATCACTTATAGATCTGACCATCCAGACAACACTTCCCACGCTGGCTCTTGCATCCTTATACATAAATCTCTATCGCATTCCCTTATCCCTTCTACTCCAACTGATGCCATTCAATCAACTTCTGTAATCCTTTCAACTCGTCCTTTCCATCTAACACTTTCAGCTGTATACTGTCCTCCTGGTAATTCCCTCTCTTATAGCCTACTTGATTCCTTATTTCAATCCCTCGGAGCGCGCTTTATTGCTGGAGGAGACTACAATGCTAAACACCAACGATGGGGTTGTCGAACATCCAACTCCCGCGGTAGCATCCTATCACGTGTCTCTTCTTCCAACAGTTATTCAATCCTCTCACCCATGAATCCTACATATTGGCCTACATCTCTGAAAAAACGTCCCGATATCCTGGATATATTTATCACCTCCCAGATTTCCTCCTCCCAATCCATTATCAAATCCCTGGATGACCTTTCGTCAGATCATAGTCCAGTTTTGCTTTTACTACATTCGAACTTTGCTCCTAAACCTAAACTTCCTAAACTAATTACAGGACGAGTGGACTGGGACAAATTTCGTCATGATCTGGAAGATAAACTGGACTTAAAAATTCCCCTCAAGACAAAACAACATATTGATAATGCCATAGAAAACCTTAATACAACTATAACAACGAGTATAAATAATAACACATTTGTTAATAATAAAAGCAATAATTTAAGACAAATTAACTTGCCACAGCATATTCGAATCTTATTAAGGGATAAACGCA